TCAGGGTCTAAGTAGCCAATTGTTCCTTGCACCATTGTCGGTATCTCAGATTCAATCATGGGTACCAATCTTGATGTTCCAAAGTCTGACACTTTCGCGGTGTATTTATCATCTAGGAGTATGTTGACCGACTTTATGTCTCGATGAATAATAGGAGGAGAAGCAGCAGAATGCAAATATGAAAGCGCCCCTGCAGTTTCTGTGGCTATCCTCAAACGAGTATCCCAGCATAGAACCGAGGCCTTGGCTTTGTCCTGCATATGATCGAAAAGTGTTCCATTGTTGATGAATTCATAAACTAGCAAAGGGACTTCCATTTCTAAACAACATCCAAGGAGCTTGACCACATTTCTGTGATTGATTTGGGAGAGAACTATAACTTCATTGATGAAGTGGTCAATTTGGGATCTATCAACTACTCTAGATTTCTTGATTGCTACTACAGTGCAATCTGTCAAGTTTCCTTTGTAAACTGTGCCATAGCTTCCTTGGCCAATGACCCTTTTTTCATCAAAGTTGTTGGTTGCTTTTTCAAGTTCTTTAGCAGTGAATATCTTGGCAATATTTGTGCAGTCTTTTTGCTTGATTAGTTCCTGTTGCAGGAGCAAACCACCATTTTCTTGAAAGAATTTTTGCTTTTCGATGATTAGCTTTCTTCTCTTGAATTCAAAGTATAACCAGGAGCCAAATGCAAGTAGAGCTGCTGTGACGAGCGCAATACCTGCAGGTAAGTTGTTTCCACAAAAATAATAAAAATAATAATAAGAAATATTCTTGGAAAACATAGTTACTTGAATGATCATAAAAATATAGCTATTCATCAAGATCAGCAAGAAGGTCTTGAGTTGTTCAGACTTCAGAACATGATGCATGAGTAGATGTACAATTTTAATGTGAATAATTTCAGCTTTCTTGGAAAAAAGTTTGGTGAATGATAGCGTTTACTTTCAAGAATTGGCATTTCAGAACATTCAATTTTCCAAAGTTTCAATTGGAAGTTAACCCTTGTTTCTTGCAGTCTCGAGAAGTTAACCCCTTTACAAAAGGTTTAAGATCCAATTATCCTACGTACTTGAAGATCTTTATGGTTAATAACATATCAGATTTTTCATTACCACATCATCATTAGAAAACATATGATAGGAAAGTCAATCATGTCAGAAGTAAACTCAAATCAACATTGGTGATGGTATTTTCTTTTCAAATCTGTTATCCTTACTAAATAACACAAAAGCGGAACAGTAGACATGGTTCTGACCTGCAATAATCCTAGTAACAAGTAGCTGCTGGTTTTTCCTTTTGGGGAGGCAAGGTGATATCTTCCCATCACCCTGATATCCATTTGGGCAAGAACATTTATTGCCGCCTATTTCATTTTTGCAGAGGCTTTTGAATGTGCAGGTATTAAGATTTTCATCTTGACACTCATCAATATCTGCAAAAAACATAATAAGATTGGAAGGCACCAATAGAAAAACAAAATAACGTGAATGGCATTTGGCATCCCAATTAGTCGATTCTGTACCTTGACAAGCAATGTAAGGGTTGCCTTCATAGCCCTCAAGGCAAGAACATCTATATCCAGGATAACTATCAGGTTCAGGATCGTTTATGCACTTGCTGTTTTTCTGGCAGGCATAGGTATCCAAGTTCTTTTGAGCAATTTCACAAGTCTCATTCCCAATAGTCCAATCAAGCGCTACAGGGAGTTTATTCACATTTTCTATATCCCTCAATAGATCCATAGAGAAGTTGAACCCACCTTGTTCAACAACAAAGACTGAGCTGCAGGGATTAAAGTTCTCAACAACTGAGTGGTTACGGAAGCTCCCCACCGACAAACTAAACTCTGATGTCCCTTTTGGGATGGATGTCTGGCAGCACCCTCCACCTGAACATATCCCATCAACAACTTCCTCTGTGCTGTAGCAGATAGACATGCATCCAGTAGTATACCCCTGAACACCATGAAAACCTTTGATAAAACCGTATGTGTCACAACCTACTGCTGTAAACTTGTTGAGGGTATGGTTTAGGGTGAATTTTGCGAGTGAAAATGTGGTTACCATATGTTTGCTGGGCACCACACTGGATTGACTAAAACATTTGCGTGCAACGAATTGCAGGACATGTATTTGACCTTCAAGGGATATTCTTGTAACATCGATTTCACTGAATTGCGAAATTGGTTTAGGAGGATTGAAGGAGGTGTTACAGATGATCTGGAAAGGTTCATCAAGATAACATCCTTCAGTCATGCCAAAAGGGTAGGGGATTTCAACGTTCCCACAGCTACTATTGCAGCCTGGTTTGGCTATAGGAAACGCTGCAGCTGATGCAACCACTATTCTTGAAAACAAGATTGCCAAAATTACTACAAGTATAAGCTGAGCACCACATAATCGTTTGCAACACCATTGATGAAACTTGTACCAAAATTGTGAGATTATCAGTTTCTTGAACATTTTATTTGGGTTGCAGGCCTTGGAGACTTGGTCCATTGACAGGAAACAATTGCAAAAAGTTAACTAAAATGTGTGAGACAAAGACTAAAGACGTTTGTACGAGGAGTCTGTGATTGGTCAGCCCGTATGAATACTGGCCGGCTGAGAGTTCTACTTACTTTTGACATATAACCAATTCTAAATTTATTCTGAGATCCCAAGCCAAGAGACAAATGTAGTTACACCATAAATTCAGGGTTTTACAGATTATCTGTACCTGCCAGTTGTTTTTTTCCTTTTTTATTCGTTAGATTACATAGCAGGAATGTTCGGCATCGAATTATTGGTTGCTTTTCAGTATCTTTAGGAAAATGGGCTCAGTAGACTGATTAACAAAACAAAGGATAGACCACACTGATCTACACACAAGATTGTCACGTTTCCAAACATAATTCTTACTAAGCTTTGCAACCAAATAACCTGAAAAAGCACTTTTCACACTAAATTTTACCATGTGTTGCTTGCATATGGATTTTACAAAGCTTCCGTATGAATCAGTGGCGGAACCAGAAAAAATTTTCAATGGGGTAAAAAGTAACTCTAAAATTTTTTACCTACTCATTTTTTAGTTTTTTAAGAAAAAAAAATATTTATCAACAAGTACAAATGATGCATATATTTCACGAAAAACATCAAAAGACAGACTCAAAATTATTACTGTAATAATAATTTTATTTCAAAAGCAAACTAAACCATTTACAATTGCTCATGACGGGTTTTTATATTTTGATAACGGTTTACAACCTTTTCATTTTGAATATCATAATGTATATTTTTCTCAATATAAGTAACTAAACAATTATTCATCCAAGTATCTTCCATTTTATTTTGTAACCGATTCTTCACTATATTCATCATTGAAAAAACTCCTGCTACGGTAGCTGTAACAACAGGTAAAATTAAAGACAACTTTAAAAACATATACATCATTAGATATACAAAATTCCAGGAGACACACTTGAAATTACATCAAATTTTTATAGGTATTATAGAAATTTAAGAGGGACAGTAAAAGCCTATAAATAGGGATGGCAATGGGGCGGGGGACACCTCCCCCAACCCCCACCCCGTTGCATTTTAATTCCCCCCGCCCCCGCCCCGCCCCGCTTCCCCCGTGGGGGCACCCATGGGGTTAAAAAAAATTTATTATATAATTTCATTATAATTAAATTTGAGCAAATAATTAAGTACTAAAATATCAACATATCACCAAATTATTATTCATTATAATTTCACAATTAAAACTCATAAAAATAGTTAAATAAAGGTTATTTGAATACAATCTAATATGATAAAACAAATCTAACTAAAATAATCAAATTTTCACTTTTGATACAAATACAATCACTAAATTTTTTTTTTCACGAATTATAGTAGTATATTATCCTTGGAAGGTAAACCACAAAACTCTTGAGCAGCCTGGAATTATAGTAACATATTCCAAAGCACCTCAAACCAAAAACATCCAAAAGCAGAAATCACAGACTCAGTTTTGTAGGATCTGCCACCATCCGTCAAGCACCCAATTCTGAGAGAGGCTAACCAGCATACAGGGCAGAAAACTACGACACAACAAATAAAACATAGACAAAACTACTGAAGCAGCACATGAAAAGTTTGCATGACACGATTTATTGTAGTAGTAGATTTCATTTGAGGGCCGACCAGCATGAACCCGCACGGTTCATTTGGCACCCTTCTTGGCAGCAGCCTTGGTGACCTTGGCACCAGTAGGAGATATATATATATATATTCAAACAGGTGGCGGGGCGGGAGATGGGGCGGGGGAATATACCCCTGCCCCCCGCCCCGTTTCTAAACGGGGGTAAAAAATTCCCTCCTGCCCTCCCCAACTCCCGACCCAATGAGCTCCCGCGGGGCGGGTGCCCGTCCCCGTTCCCTACCTATAAACTAATAGAAACACAAAATTTCAAGGATACAATTAAAATTATATCAAATTTTTATAGATATCATAGAAATTTAAGGGGACAGTGGGGCCCGTGTCCCAATGCCCCCAGTGTAAATCCGCCAGTGCTCTGAATGGACTACTTTTGGACTTGTGATAAGTTTATAATTGTTATGTGACCTCTTTTTATTTTTTTATTCTTTATTTTTTTTCAACTTGGATTTGGAAAAAGTCTATGCAACTTAACATTGAAATGATGAAACTCGAAGGGGTGTTGCCGTCCCCCTAACCTTGACAAATGTCGAGGCAGTTAAACTTGATTCTCATAAGAAGAAAAACTGCAATGGATTAAGGCAATAATATACACAGTATTATATAGTTTAGGTCGGGAGAGAATTTAACTACTTGAAAGACCAGTTAGTTCTTGTACCATATATCTTTCTACGGTGACTGATTAATTTGTTTGAGTCTCTAATTACTGCTTCTAATATGTGGGATTTCTGAAAGCGTTCTTGAACAGGTTTTGTTTTATATATAAAAGTACATTAATTGAATTTTTCATTATATAAATTCTGATGAAATAAATTATAGGAAAAAAGAGATATTTTTCCTCAACTTTTTTGTTCTGTACAGAAGGAAGTTGACTGATAAGGAGTATGGCTAGGCTAAGGAGATGGAATTTCAACTTATTCTGTAAAAGATAGCGTACCAATTTGGTGTCAAACCGGAATTTCTGACTAATTTTTAGCCTAAATCATGCTCACAATATCACTATTCCAAGTTCATTTTAGCTTTATGTTGAATTTGTTTTTGCCTCTTGCATCTTCTTCTGCCAATTCTATGTATGTAATTATTCTTTGTCCCTTCTTCATTGTCTTTCACAGCCCATTTTGTTCTACAAGGAAGCATAATAATCACTGTTGAGTGCGAACCCTCAACAGAGATCCCTTTCTTCACTTTCTTCTATTTTCATGGTGTTCCCAGTTTGGGCCATTGTAACAGCATGCAAATGCAATAGTTCGTCTCACCACATACACACCAGTTTGAGCCATCTTCGCGGATTCAGGCTAATCAGGATATGACCAAACCATAGTATACTCATTGGTTTCATGACAACAAGTGATGCCAACACTATCTCTGGCATAATGAGCTAATTAAAGTCGCTTCTGATAGAGATGAGTGCTCCTGTTAGAAACTCAATAAGTCAAACTTGATTGAAAAATGCATAAATAAAATTCCAATCAAGTGCAGCTCAGCAAGTGTATCTGCTTTGAATTTTCTCTAATCTTCGCCTTCAGAATGTAGCTTCAGAAAAAACCTGATCTGTGAATAGTCAACTGGATTGATCCCAAATTGCGATGAGCTCAACCAGTATCAAATTTCACAAAAGCTTTTCTAAGCCAAATACCAGATTCTGCGCATGGAAGCACAAAAAAAAAAACTACTACTCAGGGCAGGCAGGGGGAAAAGTAAACAAGCATAGACAACAAAGATAATGCAAGTTAATTTCAGCCACCTTAAAGCGCACTACTCTTCTAATGGCTAGGATTAGGCCTGGCATGAGAGATTGCACATCCGTAATATCATGTTTGATCGTATAGACCTGAATTCAGAAATACCAGAGATGACATTATCACAATTGAAGAAGAGTCTAGTGTTCTGCATTTCCTAGGGCAGTTTAACAATGGATATTCTGCTAACCTCTCCGGGCCTGGAAAAATACACTGTGGTACTAGACGGTAGCCCTGGAACAACTAGGCTGTGCACTCGCACTCCATCTTCTCCAAGAACCTGACCTCGTGCCTAACATGATAACAGAGCCAAGAGGTATTATGTCATCAAGTATGTAATAGGATTGGAATGCTTGTAGCTGTAAATACTAAACAAATGGTAATTGTTTCTTACCTGGACTTCAGTCGAGATATCTTGTCTGTTGTATAACTGACCTATATTGGAGATGTTGTTTGCAATTTGTATTGCATCTTGTGTTGGAAAATCCTGTCAAGCAACAACATCAAATCAAGACAAGCTTGATATACTTCTCCCAGAACAGATGCTCAGAGTCAGAAATCAGAACGGCTCGCTTATTCAACTAGCTGCAGAATCAAAGCATCTGTGAACTTACAGCAGCATTTGCCCTGGATTCAACTATTTCTACATTGTTGTAATGGAAAGAAGCTGAAATCGCAGCTTGCTGAAGGAGTATCGATCCTATTGATAATGTTGGAGCCACCAGACACCCCTGAACATTACATTCCTAATTACCATGAGAATACTGCTTAATTTATGTCGAATAGAAAATTGAATTAATCAGTTCTTGCCTACATAAGTATCCTTGTACAAATCACAGGTAAATTTTTCATACCATGTAACGTGTATGTTTCTTAGGAGAAGTTCAGGATACACAGAATTTGATAGCTAAAACAGTAGAATTACAATGATTCAATAACATAAATCTCACCCTGAGCTCACCATGCTGGCCTTTTCACAGAATGATGACAATGCCATCACTGTGTCCTGTTTGATGCGGGGCACATAAACCACACTATTCATGCCAAATGCTGTTGCCTATTTTGTACCACAGGCAAGAACACAACAAAAGACTAGTCAATTCCCAGGATTATGTAATGTACTGAGAGTAACAGAATTGAAACATATCACTTTTGCCATCTGTTTTGATGCTGGAGTTTATCTAGAATGGACCTGTTTAACGTTGTCATAGACTGTTGTAGGATCAGTGAAATCAACAACAACTGCCATTCCTTTAGACTGCAAACAAGGTCCTAACCATGTAAACAATCGATTTTGTTACCAAAGAAATGCATTTTCCTTTAACTTGATTTCTGTGTTGTTACCTGAGATATGGAACCCAAGACCATGGTAAGGTCGTTCATTATAGGAATTTCCAAAGCCTCTTCCATGTCACAGACCTGAAAGTGTAATTAAATAAGGATCACCAAACAAAATTAAATAAACCAGAAAAGTTGTAAGAAAAAAAACAATAATGATTCAATATAAGTGGGAAAGAAGAGAACCTTTCCAATATCTTCTCCAACAAGGTAGGAATCCACTGCACCCGCCACTTCCATCCCTCTTGCTTTTGTAACAGCAACTACAGCTGCTCTTCCTATTTCCTTGGCTGCCCCATTTACGATTACCTCTTCCCCATGATACAAAATGTATTTAAAAAAGAAAAAACTCTTAGCTTCTTTTTATTACTCTAATGCATGCAAATTAAGCATACCTGATAAAATTTCTGCAATTGCAAATAAAGTTCTACCTTGATGTTGCTTTGTCCTCCAGGCTGCATTGAACACGAGATGGACGGTGCCACGATTTTCTTGACATTTTGGAGACTGGTCGTATAGCTTATGGGATGAGAATGGCAGCTCAAGGCTGCCATGGATGCTAAAAGCCTCTCTCGCTGTAAAGAAGAGGGTGTGGTTATAGAAACGGATAAGTTATATTTCTGGCGATGTTTTGCGTTGTTTCTCAGGATAAGGTTTCTGCTCTTTTATTGTCTTCCTTGGTCCTTTAATTATCAGGCCAATTTCAGGAATACTTAATACTAATAGCATTCATTCTTTACCCTATGTTGATCAAGTCATCACCACAATGCCATTTGAGCTTTGATGGTCACCAATTATTCCAAAAGCTGTGTAATTGCAACCTTAAAATTGATATGAACAAATAAAGGACTAACTCTACTCTGCACCCCCTAAACTTGTACCACTTTCTCGCTTTAACTCTAAACTTCAATTTTAGACAATTTGTACCTTCTAGTCCCAAGTTTGTCCCATTTAAGTATAATCAATAATTATGTTGGCAAAATTAACGAGATAAAGGATGGTAAAAATTAATGACAAGATATCATTTTGTTCAAACTATGATCCCTCAATTTTTCTTGACCACTTTTCAGTTTATTGTCATTAATCTATATAGTTACAATCACTAATATTGTTAGCAAAATTAGCGAAATAAAAAGTGGTACAAATTAATGGAAAGCATTATTTTATTTTTGTTACGATACCTTGACACTTTTTTGACCATTTTGGCACATTTTCATTGATTTGTTGATGTTGTTAATTTTGCTAGAGTTGTCATTGATTGGATTTAAATAGAACAAATTTGGGAGTGTAGGGTGCAAAATGTATAAAACTAAAAGTTTAGAATTGCAATTTAGGGTGCAAAGTTAGAAAATGGTACAAGTTTGGAGGTGCAAAGTAGAGTTAAACCACAAATAAATGACTCTATGGGCAATGTTCATTAAACTTTTTCTTTTTCCTTTTCTTTTCTTGTACAATCGAATTCATTGGCTTTTCGCAGCGTAAAAGTACGACACTTTTATAATTTGGGGTTAATTACATTTACCTCTCTTGAGGTTTGACCATATTACCAATCAATCCCTGTAATTTGTCCAAATAACGGTCTCACCCTTTGAATGATCAAACATTTAACAAAAACCCCCTTAATGCCGAAAATGCCCTTATTGAGGCCATATTGCATTAAAAAAAGAACATATTTTTATTTTATTAACCTGAAGCAATCCAAAAAAATAGAAAAAGTATTTGCTTATTATTTTATAAAAACCATATCTTTGCTTGCATAAATAGTTTTGAATCAATAATTATTTTAAATCTTAAAAATGAATATTAAAAATTAGATAAATTGAAAGAAAAATAAAAAAGAAGCAATTATTTTAAATTCTCAAGTATGGTTCGAATTTGTGGTTCAATGCATGTTGCGGAGAGTACAAGGCATGTTTTCCTTAATTATTTTAATTCCTAGAGTATGGTTCAAATTGAGTTTAAAATTGCATACGAAGTTTAACACCTGGATTTCAAGAACCAATATTATTTATAAAATTTGCAGTCATAATAATGATTACTCTTGTAATAAGTATCTTAAACTTTGATTTGTTTAATTAATATCTTAAACAAAATGTCTCTATGAGCAAACTTCAATGAACTTTTTTTTTCTTTTTTTATCCTGCAGTCAAGCCCGTTGACTTTTCCAATTAAACAAATGATACTTAGAAAATTTTCACTCATGCCCGGTTTCTTAAGGCTAGCAAAGAGTGTATTTGTCAAAGCAAGAGCATAGAATTTGAATATGATTGCGTCTGGGGTTAAACTTTTCAAAAGGGGCTCTAATGAGAGGAATCGTAATCTTTTTTTCAGCTTCTTATGTATCCAGTCACCAAATTGTTCTAAAGTAAACAAATATTCCACTAACATGTATATAAAATAGTATAAAAATCATCAATTCTTTGTAGCCTTTACTATGTAGGCAAACATTTAGTCTGTCATAGGTACTCAAAATTTTAGTCCAATTTCTTATATTTTTAAGAGATATGGTTTTAGGTAAATAGCTGAAAGAAGACAAAAGTTTTAAGGTGAAATTATCATTTTTAAAAGGTATGCCAGTGAAAATAGAAATTTGGAAAGATTTTGGAGCTTTCCTCTGTTGCCACACATATTTTGTTTATTTCTAGAAGGTGTTGGGTGCGTATTTCGGATTTTGGGAATCCAAGTGGAATCACAAATTTCACCTTGGGTATAGGTTTTCGTCATTCTTCTTACATGTTTGGTTTGGAACCAAAATGAGGTTTCATTCAATCAATAATTTAGTGATTTTGAAACCTAAGTAACAGGTGTGCAATGATAGGGCAAAATTTAATATTTTCATTCATATTTAACAATTCTCATAGTGATCTATCAAATAATCTGTACTGGTAATATCAATTTCGCTATCCATCCCTAATGCTCAAACTCATTTACTAAATATAATCTTTTTCTTTTCAAGTAACTCTCACCATTGCCACCACAAAAGAGGGAGGGAACGGTCTTCACCTTGGAGTGTTAGAAAAATAAGTTCTTCTTCTATAACAAAAATAACAAATTTTTAAAAATATCCTCTATATTTATAGTTTTTGCCTCGCTAAAACTTGATAAAATTCTATAATGCACTGTCTAGAATACACATACATAAAAAAAAAAAAAACAATTTCAGAAACCTCTCCTAAGGTTTCACAAAATATCATTTAACTCCTCCAATGTTTTCCAAATTTTTCTCAACTCCCCTAAAGTGATTGTGGAACCATATGTCGCTATTAGAAGGGATCAATTGTCAATAATATCCTCAATTCTTCCAGCAATTATTTATTCTGCTAGAAGACAAACAAAAAAAAATTAGACAAAACTATTAGCATGTAATAACAAAAAGCCCAAGAAACAATTTGGTGCCACTTTTCTTCTATACCAGCAAAGGCACGGAATTATCTCTGACAAAGTTTCAAAGGCACACAATTCTTTTGTTAGATGAAATACTAACTATAAAAGGACTCTTATTTCTATGTTGTAGCGTTTCTGTTCTCTCTTCTGTAAAGAACAATCCGAGAACTTGGAGCAGAGGTAAAAGGATTCCATAAGTTTGAAATGAAGGCATGATTCTCAAAACAAAACGGCAGAACAAGTAAAAATCCTGACTGGAGCTTTAAATGATCATCTAGTACTTAATAGGAGATGATCCGAAGTTCAATATCAAAATAGTTGCATAAAAATGAGAGATTGATGTAATTTTTATGTTCTGATGAAGGAGCCTTTGTTGATTGTGAGGTATTCTTGATGATCAGGCCATAATACCTATGTTGTCCTTTTATTTTTGTATTTTGCTGGACTTGATAACTAATTTTACAATTTAACTAGCGTTTTAGTAAGTATTTTTGATATTGAATGCTGAATAATATATGTGATTTGATGATAGATGTTTGACGATTATGTTATTTATGTCAGCAATTCACTGAGTGTTTAGTGATGCAAAAAGCTGCAATACATAAGTATGGAGTAAGTTCTTGATAAAGAATCTGCTTAGGATCATAAAAGCTAGTATTATTCCTTTATACAGCTTGTGGAGAAAATTTTGTTTTGTAACTTGAGTTATGATGTTCTTGAGTTTTGCTTTGAACATCATATACATTGACTTACAATGTGTATAGCTCAGGACATAAATGGATGAATGAAGAAATGATGATTACAATGAATTAAAAGTATGATGCATATGTAAACCTTTTATTGTGCTGATGAATAATTATACACCTGGTATACTATTTGCAATATTCCAAAATGTAATTCTTACAACAGCTGATCGAAACTTTTCTTGGAAACACATTCACACGTTCTACACCCTATTTCAGACGGAACCCATAACATGCAAGTCCTGGATCTAGAATCGGATGGTATCAACGTTTGAATAGCGAAAATCTAGACAAACTTAGACCACACAAGAATATCAAGATTGGTAGATGACGCCACAATCAAGGTGACTGCTTGATGGATAAGTCAATGAGCACCTTAGAAACCATTCTTAAGATGTTCACAAGTCAAAAGAATTGTTTCACTCGAGAAATTGAATGTTAGCAATTTCTCAAAATCGTCTATAATATAAGTCAATGAACACCTTAGAAACCATTCTTAGGATGTTCAAAAGTATCTTTCACAAGCCAAAAGAATTGTTTCACTCAAGAAACTAAATATTAGAAAATTCTCAAAGTCATCTATAATAATGCTTCTAAAATTCGGCTATTTATGCCCAACTTACAAATCTAAATGGGTCAAGATTTAAACTCTTAACTAACCGGACTAATGAATTAATTAAGGCCCAACTTAGACATAAACTGGCCAATTTATTCTCCTAACCTAAAAGTCCCATTCGACTCAATTAAGCAAGCAACTATGTGGATCCAACTTACATGCAAGTTAGCCCAATTTATTCTTGAAATAAACGACCAAACTAAGCTAGAGAAACTAAGTTAAAAATGACTCCAAAGCAGAAAACTTGATTCGCTTCAATTGTAAGCCCTTGATGTGAACCTATGAACTGCAACTGGATATATGAATCTTAGGATCCAATGAAGTTTGATCAATATAGATGAGATTAATAAAGATTGTTTCAACATGCTTAAGCCCTTCAATGGATCTTGACACTTCATTTTAGTCTTGACAGCCCACACTGGAGCTCGAAATGCTCCTTTAAGTGTCATAGCTCTTGCTCTAGTGACCTTATTCACGAGAACCCACATTGGATTACCTTGAACATCTCGCATGCTTACATCACATATTGACATGTAGAATGAGAAGAATTGTTGCATATGATATTGTAGTTCATTGCATGAGAAACAAAGTTAGAACTTCTAATGTAGATCCAAGGAATTCGCAATAGATTGACCTATTCAATGATATTACTGACAAGGAAATGAATGACTTGCCTGGAAATTTGAATATACTTTTGCACATGAAGTGTGGGATTCCTAGGACAACATGCTTTATGAACATTACTACAAACAAATCAGTCTTTGTTATATTCAAACTCCATGAAAAGGATCTTGTTGTCAACTTGTATGTGTTACACCTGGAAATTATTCCTACAACAGAGGAGAATACTGTAGAAAATAACCAAACTAAGAATGCATAGAAAACTTAGAAATCAAAAAAGCTCCTATTCA